AACTCTCAAAAATAATAATAAAAATTGTTTAATAAATAAATAGAGTTTTAAGGCCAGCCAATACATTTCCTATCATAGTCAGGCAAGTAATCTAACATTACTTCTAACCATTTAAGAATAGACAAATTAAACCAGTGTAACTTAGAAGTAAGGGCAATTAGGTTAAAGATATTGACCAAACTCTTAAAAATATCCAGTTAGAAAAATATTTACATAAAGCTTAAGTTAAAATTTTCACATGCCTGTTACTTTTTCTGGATTTGAGGGATTGGGAATGGCTTGGATGGTGGGTAGGAAAAAGGGATAACAATTAATATTGTACATGTGACTATTAACCAACTTTAATGGTCATAGGCAAGTTTCCTGATCCCAAGTTTCTACCATAATTTTATTCAAGTATAAAATGAATGGCAGTTAAATTCAACTCCAATCCTGAAATATTGTTCAACTAACACATTTACACAAACTGTATTTTAAATAAGAATCTACCAAGTGACTATTTAAAATTTTTCCCTGTTTAGTATTTTGCAAGGGGTAAAGAAAGGATGCTTGTTAAACATATCCCACTCTGCTGCTGCTGCTTTTTTTTTTTTGGAGAGGTTTTTGCTATAGGGCGCGTGCACTCGCCAGAAAGACAGAGGGAGACAGAGAGATAGAAAGCGAGAAATCACCCCCCAGGGGGGATGGTCAAGCTGCAGTCCCTTCTCCTCCATTCTCCTCTTGGGATCTTGGGCATGCACGCACATGAGCCTGGCGTGAGTTTAAGCCACCGGGTCCGGAACTCAAACTGTGGTTGACTACGTGGGAGTCCAGCGACATAGCCATTATGCTAACTGCTGGTCCCCCACGCTGCTTCTTTTGGGGAGAAGCAAAGAAAAATATTCTTTGTAGTAAGATACTCTGGGTGCTGAAATTTTAGCCACTCTTAACTTTTAGTCTGAGTTCTGAAAAAGTTAAGACTTAACTGATTATCTATTCACTAAGACTTAAATTATGGATCGATCAATTCTTTTTACTTTTTTAAGAATTTTTAAAAATTTAACTTTATTTATTTATGTTTTAATTTGACCAGAGAGGGACAGAGAGAGAGAGAGAGAGAAAGTGAGAAGGCAAGTTGTTGGATCCGAGATTCGAACCTCAGTCAACTATGTGGGAGTCCAGTGCCCTTAACCATCATTCCTCCTGCCGGCCCCCTTGATCAATTCTTTTTTTTTTTTTTTTTTTTTAGGGGTTTTTGCTTTACGCTGGATTTCCTGTTGGATCTTATGATTAGACAGAATCATACTTTCTTCCAACCCTCTCTATTCTTTTTGTTTTTTTAGAGGTTTTTGCTATAGGGCGCGTGCGCTCGCCAGACAGACAGAGACATAGAGACAGAAAGCGAGAAATCACCCCCCAGGGGGGATGGTCACGCCGCAATCCCTTCTCCTCTATTCTCCTCTCGGGATCTAGGGCACACACGCACACACACCCGGCGTGAGTTTTAAGCCACCGGGTCCGGGACATGAACTGTGGTCGACTATGTGGGAGTCCAGCGCATAGCCATTACGCTAACTGCTGGTCCCCCGATCAATTCTTTTTGAGTCAAACAGTCCGGATTACTTTAGCCATCTGAAAAATCTTTCCTAAGCCCTTAATAATTTTTAATTGTATTTCTTTGAATTTATTTTAAATTTTTTTCTAAATATAAACCTTGAAACAAATCTAATTCCAATGTCAAATATAAGAGAAAGATAATTTATGATTTGCATATTTTTGTTTGTTTGTTTTTGCCAGAGGGCACATGTGCTAACCAGACACCAACAGAGAGACAGAGAGAGCAAAATGGGGAAAGCACCCTCCAATGAAGTGTAGTCATGCAAAATCCCCTCTCCATTTTTCGTCCTATTGGAACTTCTGGGCATGCAAGCACAGGTTCCTGGCAAGATTTCTAACTGCTGAGGGCACGATTAGAACCTAGTTGGCCATGAGAGATCTGGCTCTCTTAACCACTAATCCACAGAGTTGGTCCACATGATTTGCAGGTATTTTACTTTTCCGAACATATTCTCATCTCTCCTTCCACGTAAAGTAAAATTTGAGTGATATCAAAGTAACAAATTTAGCTTATAGTCCATTCAAAATTTTACTTTATTTTCTATTATACACAGCTAGTAATACTACCCTTCTGTTCTAGGCAGCTTTTACTGATTAAAAACAAAATGAAAAATTAGGGGAAATTCTTTAATATTACTAAAAAAATACCTTTACTGTAGGAAAGCCTTGCTGTGTTCTATCCTTTACTGAGCCACGGCTGCCTTCAGTCAAGTACCGAGCTCGGTGCTGGGTCTCCGGTTGTACAACTATCTTCAGCTCTTTTCCCTCACTTTTAACAGGATACTGTCCACACAACATAGGGCTCTTCTTTATTCCAGTTCCTTTTGGGTTTTCCAATATTCTGAGAAATCAAAGCATAACATGGAAAATATATCAAAAAAGAATTTAAAAAAAAGCCATCTAAGATAAAGGAATAGAACAGGTGATAACATTAAATGCTGGTTTACTGACAAAATTAATACAGCTCAAAGTAAGAAACATTCTGTAAGCAAAGTATCCTTTAGATTTTTGTAATTAGTTACTTATAAGATGCAATAATAAAAGAAAGCTGGACAGGAAAGAGAAAGAATGCATATGATTGGCAGGAAGAAGGAAGACAGTGGAATAAACTTGGAATAACGGGAGAGAACAGCTACTGTCATTATAACCTTTCACACTGCACTGCAGTCAAACTTAAATTTAAAAGCACATACTTATGTGAGCTGTACATAAAGCTACAGATTAACTATTATTATTTTCTAATCAGACGTGCAAAACAAAGTAGGGGTAGAAATAAAAACGCAACGAAACAAGCCTAAGAATGTATATATGACATATTCTTTTGACTATCTTTCTTAGTAAGTGAAACTGAGAGAATTATAATTTTAAAAATCAGTGAATCAATTTTTTATTGAGATATTAGCTCTAAGCAGTATTTCTCAGAAGTGTTATTTTCCAGAGCATGACTTGTGATTAAATAATTAAAGTTCTCAATTAAAAAAATTTATAATCTGGCTTTACATTTTTATCAATCTAACTTTTTAAAAATTGTGTTTCTAAAATTTATTTGTTTATAATGCATCTGCAATGTGGAATATATGCTCAAAGAGCAACAATATCCCAAACAGCAGTTAAGATTTCAGGTCAACACATTAAATCCAGAAAATAATTGAAGCACTGCAAAATACGTGATGAAAAAAGTAGAAAATAATACTGTCCGTTATTATTATCTTTTAGGTTTTTATTATAGGGCATGTACACTTAATAAAGAGAGAAAGAGAGAGAGAAGAGAAAGTAAGACATCCCCCCTCAGGGGCATGGCCATGCAGCAATCCCTTCTCCTCTCAGGATCTTGGGCATTCACGCACATGCACCTGGCATGATTTTCAAGTCACTGGGTCTAGGACTCAAAATTGCACAGCCAACTATGTGGGATCCAGTGCTTTAACCTCCAAGCCACTTGCTGGTTCCAATTACCTTTTCTTTTGAGCAACGTGAAATTTAAACTTATCCATGTACATTTTAAAACAAGGCCTATACGGCTTTCTCTGTGACTCTTCTGAACCTAAGTTTTATTAACTTTGGAAACCAGAAATGAGGAGATGACTGTGGACAAAATCTCCTCCATAAGCAACCAGGTCTTGGGAGGAATATTATGACTTCAAACACGGAGGAGCTAAGCAGTTAACCTGTCTCTAACCCTTCCAGCAGGAAGAAAGTTGTTGCTTCAATCAAGCACAAAGAAATCCTGCTCCCCAGATCTAGCTAGGAGTCAGGACAAGCCAATCAGCAGTTCTGAGCGGCCCCATTCAGGGATTAGGACCACAGAAGATCTTCTGACCAGACTTCACCTTCTTGTCCCCCAGAACTAGCCAGGAGTGAGGTTAGAACACCTGCTTTATTCTGTCTCTCTCCGTCTCTTCATTTTTAATTTAAATTTTAATTTTTAAACGTCTTAGGTCTCAGAACCTTTGACCTAGAAAAATTCACCAAAAAGACTGAGAAAATAACCCCCAAAAATGAGAATAGCATATGAGTACTACTAGATACCATTAAATGCCCAATTACCCAGAATATCGGTATCCCAGAAGGTGAAGAAGCTGATAAGGGCATTGATAATCTATTTCACAAGATCCTGAAAGAAAACTTTCCAAACCTAGAGAGGCACTCAAATATCCAGACCCAGGAAATACAAAGGACCCACACAGAATCAACCCAAGAAGACTTTCCCCCAAGGCACATCATAGCAAGATTGACTAAAACCACAGAGAAAAGATACTAAATTTGGCAAGAGAGAAATGTCAAATTACTTTCAAAGAATATCTCATCAGTCTAACATCGGACCTTTCATCGGAAACAATGCAAGCAACAAGAGAATTAGAAGATATATTCAAAGTGTTAAGTGAAAAACAATTTCAACCAAGAATACTATACCCAACAAAGTTATCTTTCATATGGGGGAAAAAAAGACAAAAACATTCTCAGATAAATAAAACCTGAAAGAAATTTACCAACAGTGGACCAGCTCTCCAAGAACTGCTGAAGGGAGTGGTATACCAGGAAAACTCAAGTCAGACACACAGAAATAAGAGTACAAAAAACAACCAAGAGAATGGCAGCCTAATGGTAGGGACAAGTTCAAAGTAACTTCCAGAGTTTAAATAGAAAAATAAGACTACAATAACACTGCAAATTCAATAGAAGAGAGATTAATTACATGAGACTAAACTAGTGAAATAGAATTTTTTGACTTTAGACTAAAATATTATTGATTTTCATCGATGCTTTGATTTCCATATTTAAGGATTTGTGTCTTCTCTTGAACTGCTGATAGTTTGGACCTAATCCTAACCTTTTTCCTGGCTTTAAGTTTTTAGCAAATTTCTCTTAACATTTTTTGATTTTGGTCTATTAAAACTAAAACTTTTTACTTGAAATTTAAAAAATGCATTAAAAAATACCTATTAATACCTACTTAATGACTGCAGTAAGCTGTATAGCCCTAGCAAGGTGCTACTTCATAGTGTGTTCACTTTACTCACTGAGATTTACATCTAAAATTAGACATGTATTCACAGATACATACATATTAGCTGTGCTTGCTATTGGAAGTTTTTAAATTAAGATCTTTAGTGAATCAATAAAATGTGAAAAAAAAAAGGCATGGAAAACAACTGTACAAAAATGTGGGAGAGGAGGAGAATTGGCAGAGAACAACAGGTAGGGAATCAAGGGGGGGGGCAAAAGTAAAATATATAAGAAACAAGAAATAGAAAATTACTTGCTGATGATAACATGGTATGGAATATCCTTGATTGAGCCAATATACAATGTATTCTGGGTGGGAAATCTCATTTTGTATACTGTATTAATGTACAGTGAATGACTGTAAATAAATAATAAAAAATAAAATAAAATAAAAAAGGACCAAAGAAACAATAAGCAGTACCCTTGAAGGAAATGGGGGCTGCATTGAACCCCTGTGGTTAGAAAAAGTGTGGAAGAATGAAGAAAAGTATAGAACTGGCCTGGGAATGCAGTAAGGCAAATGAACTAGGAAAGGTTCTGAGGGCAAGTAGTGTGGTTAAGAATCTTCACATTCCCTGAGCCTTGCACAGTTCTGGAAACATAACAGGTGCTGAAGAAAGGTTTGTTGATGAAGGCAAATAGAAAGAAGAAAATGACAAATTAAGAAAAAAGAGCTTCTAATATGAGAATGACCAGACTCTAACTGGGATAGAAATGCCATTCATGTAAGTTTGCTATAATTAAGTCAAACATTACTTGTGTAAATCATTTATAAAGAACCTGGAAGAATGACTTCTATGAACAAAAGCCAAGTTGCAGCTTGTACAATAGGAATGGGCAATAAACACTGTTTTTCTTAAAATACTATATGATACTCTATCATATATTAATCTTAAAATCAAAGCAAAAATATTCATTTACTGAAATAATATAAAAAATCCCCCAAATATATGTATAAAGGGACGAAAAGAAAATTCAATAAAATAACAGCAGTTGTGCTGAGTGACTAGTTTATTGGCCCTTTTTTGGGTATTTTTCAAATAGTTGATTCATATCTATAAATTTTATAATAAAAAATGGAAAACTTTGGCTTGAAGTATAAAGATAATTTACATAGACATCAATTAATTTGATAAGTTTTTTTCTATACACTAGTCAAGCTAATATTTATGAAATAAGTGAAAATAAATTTTACTATTCCAATAAAACAAAATATCTCACTTGAGATGCAGACTGCTGAGTGAATTGACAACGTATAAGTATTATGGCTTAAAGAGTAATAACACATGTAATTAAACAATTTCTGAAATGATACTTTACAAAGTACTTAAGACTACCTTTATTTTCTAAGTTTAACTGTAAACATAGAATATGTGTGTGTGTGTGTGTGTGTGTGTGTGTGTGTGTATACAGATATGTTAACCAACTAATTCTTAGATAGTTATTCATTCAAACTAATCACTTTAAAAGTATAACAGCTTAAGAAAAAGCAAGAAAGTAGTAGCTGGCTTGTATGAGATTTTACTTCCTTTTTTTCTTTTTTTTTTCCAGAAGGGGCACCCGATAGGATTTTACTTCTACATGACAACTAAAAAGGAAAATCTGTTGTGGAATACTCTATCTACAAATCTTAAAGTGACATTCTAATTCTTCTGTGCTCCCTGATTCTTTTTTTTTTCTTTTTTTTTTTTGGAGAGATTTTCACTGTAGGGCGCGTGCGCTCGCCAGACAGACAGAGAGAGACATAGAGACAGAAAGTGAGAAATCACCCCCCAGGGGGGATGGTCACGCCGCAATCCCTTCTCCTCCATTCTCCTCTCGGGATCTAAGTATTATGGCTTAAAGAGTAATAACACATGTAATTAAACAATTTCTGAAATGATACTTTACAAAGTACTTAAGACTACCTTTATTTTCTAAGTTTAACTGTGTAAACATAGAATATGTGTGTGTGTGTGTGTGTGTGTGTGTGTGTATACAGATATGTTAACCAACTAATTCTTAGAAAGTTATTCATTCAAACTAATCACTTTAAAAGTATAACAGCTTAAGAAAAAGCAAGAAAGTAGTAGCTGGCTTGTATGAGATTTTACTTCCTTTTTTTCTTTTTTTTTTCCAGAAGGGGCACCCGATAGGATTTTACTTCTACATGACAACTAAAAAGGAAAATCTGTTGTGGAATACTCTATCTACAAATCTTAAAGTGACATTCTAATTCTTCTGTGCTCCCTGATTCTTTTTTTTTTCTTTTTTTTTTTTGGAGAGATTTTCACTGTAGGGCGCGTGCGCTCGCCAGACAGACAGAGAGAGACATAGAGACAGAAAGTGAGAAATCACCCCCCAGGGGGGATGGTCACGCCGCAATCCCTTCTCCTCCATTCTCCTCTCAGGATCTTGGGCACACACGCACACGCGCCCGGCGTGAGTTTTAAGCCACCGGGTCCGGGACACGAACCGTGGTCGACTACGTGGGAGTCCAGCGACATAGCCATTACGCTAACTGCTGGTTCCCTGTGCTCCCTGATTCTTCTGGCTAGTCACAAACATTTCATCAAAATGCCTTAAATAGTGTATCTTAACTTCTAGGACTATCTAGAAGAGAGAAACAGGGCTACTAATTCTCAGGACATTTAGTCTAAAATTTAACAATCAGATGGCTAGGGATGTATGAATACTGAGTAGTTTTGGTTTACAAAAATAATTTTACTTTTTTTTTTGGAGAGGTTTTTGCCATAGGGCGCGTGTGCTCGATGGAAAAACAGAGAGACAGAAAGCAAGAAATCACCCCCTTGGGGGGATGGCCACACCACAATCCCTTCTTCTCTATTCTCCTTTCAGAATCTTGGGCATGCATACACACGTGCCCAGCATGAGTTTAAGTCACCAGGTCCGGGACTCGAACTGTGGTCAACCACATGGGAGTCCAGTGAAATAGCCATTATGCTAACTGCTGGCCCCAAAATAGTTTTACTTTCTTAATATACTCTAACATTTCAATTATATAAAAATGCTATTTCTGTCCATAGGTTGTCAAGATTTCTATGCGGTATCTTGATTTTCAATAAACTGCTGCATGCAACATATTTGAAAGTACATTTTAAAAATATTTAGTATAAATGGCAAATTCATGGTACAGTAGACCAAAGGCTATATACATTACCTCTCAAAACATTTTAAAATTTCTTTCATGTTTCTAACATCTTTATCATTGCTAAAGAACAAGGGCTGTAGCTTGAAATGTGCTAAAGAACTATATTCAAGGCCTATATTTCTTTATTTACATATGCTTTCATTCTTTCTTCAATATAGCTCCAATAAATTCTAAATTTCAATTTCTTCTGTTATTTCCATAATGCTATTAGTATCAAATATCTTTCCATTACCTAAGAAGCTGGACATTTTTTTCTGCTGCTTGATAGAGTTTCTGCTCCATGAATTACTTCATGAAAGATTTTGTCTTGACCAATGTCATTTTACTTTCCCTGGACAACCTCAAATCATTCCTAAGATATAGCTATCATACAAAAGCAGAAGCAGAGAAGATGTAGGTCAAGATATTTCTTTAATTAGCAACTCTCAATCACTGTGTTCACTAACCTTAAGTCAATATTTTATTTGCTCTTCATTTGAACTGTCAACATCTACTTCAGTACAAACATGAAAATCTCTCTTTTGGAACTTTATAAATATTATCTCCATTGAAGCCCAAATAAACATACATGTATTTAATGATATTAATGGACATTTTAGATCTGTGCTACTAGTCACAATTACTTAAGAGTCTTCATATTATAGAGCTTTATTCTATATGTAGTAGCCTTATGAATATTACGTTTTGGAAAATACCAACATTTTAAGAAGCAGTATATCTTGCTTTTTTGTGTTTTTTTTTTGATAATTTCCTAATTCGGATTTTCTAAAACTGAAAAAAGCATTAAAATATGCATTTTTTTTCATTTAACTACATCACTCCAAAAGAGTTCAAAATTAATGTATAAAAGAAAGTAATACAGAATAAATGTCACCTAAATGGTAGATATTATTTTAAAAATATACTGAGGGAATATTTATGGACATCAAGAATATTCTCTGTAACAATTAAATTTTAACTTAAAAAGAGATCAATGATGTCATCATAGTAAACCAATCTAAAGCTTCCTGACTGCTTTTTGTGACAACCTAAAATTGTAAGAGATTCTGAGTCAACTAAACTCTGTCTCCAAAAAAAATTAACTCTCAAAATCTAGTGAGTTCAATCTTACCAAACTATGTTGAATATACTGTAGGAAAATACAGTAAAGAAGTCTAACAATTAAGCATTATAATAAAAATACTCAAGGAATTATAAGTTAAAAATAAGTCACATTATTCTGTATCATAGCAGTGAATATTATGCAATATAACTACTGAAATATTTTGAGTGAACTGGCAAAGAGATTGAAGCAAACTTATAATGTATACTCTGATTCTATCCTAATAGCCTTCAAATATTCCAAAATCATGGAAATTAGTGACTTTTTAAAAAATCTTGAATTGGGGCCACCAGGTGGCATGGTGGTTAAGGTGCTGGAATCCCACATCGTTAAACAAGGGCTCAGGTCTAGACCCAGAGGCCGGAAAATCACACTGGCATGTGTGAGCACCCAAAATCCCAGGAGGAGGATGGAAGAAAAAGGACTGTAGCATGGTCATGTTCGCTGGGGGTTAAGGGGTTAATTTCTCACCTTCCCTCTTATTGTCTATCTCTGTCTTTCTCCAGCAAGTGCACATGCCCTATGGCCAAAAAAAAAAAAAAAAAAAAAAAAAATCCTTAAGAAAAAAAAAATCCTGAATTGGCACAATCAATATATCAAAGGAAAAAAGTTTAAAATACATGAACCTAAATGATAAGAATCAAATCATCAATTTAGTTTTTCCTTGTTTTCATGAAAAGAGAAAAAAACAAAGTCTAAAATTCCTTCAAAAATAGAATGGAGAGAACCACACAAGGAGACTGTGAAAGAGAATATAAACCAGTTGTTTTAGCTAGAGTCATCACACCACTGACTATTTCTTGATTAAAAATCTCTTTAAATTCAGGACAAGCAGATGACATAATGGTTACATCACTGGACAGCTGCATGGTCAACCGCAGTTCAAGTCCATGGCCTAGAGGCTTGAAATTCAAGCCAGACACGTGTATGTGCATGGCCAAAACCCTGAGAAGAGAATGGAGGAGAAGGGACTGTGGTATGGCCAACCCCCCAGGGGGATGATTTCTCACTTTCTGTCTCTCTGTCTCTCCAGCCAGCACACGTGCCCTATAGCACAAAATCTCTTTTGTTAAAAGAAAAAAAAATTCTCTTTATTTTCATTTTTTACTAACTATACTCATATAATAAGACACCTCTTGCTATAATCTATTGTTTTATTTTCTTTAGTAAAATGGTAATTTTAGGTTAAAAATTTCATGTATTTCAATGATAAAATTAGCATCTTTATATGGAAACTTAAACTGAGCAATTAAAAAAATTGGAGAATGATTTTTTTTTGTTTTGTTTTGAATAATGGTGATAGAACTTTAAAAAATGTGAATACCAACCCATTTCCTGCTTTTGAGTTGCCTTTGTTGTCCGTGGTAAGCTGAGAAAGCACATAGTGAGGTGCTTTGGCACTGTCGGCATCAAATATATCCATATTAGATTCTTCACAATCTCGTCGTTTGACCCCCGGCCTCTGCTTTGGATTTCGTTTTCGTGATTTACGAGGTACCTCAGTGTTATCATTGTAGGAACTGGTGCTCATGTTACTGAAGTTGGAGGGGGAATCCTCCATCCACATACTGCAGCTTTGCTCAGATTCCAATCCACACCCCTCATCCTGGCAGGACATCCGACTGTTATCCAGCAAGTCCTCAGGTGGTGGTGAGATGTACAAGACTGTGTGCCTCTTCGGTGTTGATGGATGCTGCTGAACTGTGTTACTGGTTAACTGCTTTTCACTTACCCCTCTGTTACTTACCCCCACGGCTGAGGAGCAGCTCTCCACTTGCATAGCCTTGCTGTCGGTGACTGAGGTAGAATAAATGGTAGGGCTGGAAGAGGTGGTAAAGGAGCTGCAAGCACCGCCCATGGAGGAAGAGGAGGGAGCTGAAGAAGCATCTGCAGTGTATAATTCAAGAGTAAATACACTATACATGTTTTCACCTATGCTGGCTAGCAGTCCCATTGAAATGTGATTTGTGAAATGATTGTTTTTCCCCAAAATGAATAGTCGGAATTTGGTTAAGTTTTAGCATATAAATGTTTCAAGCAATACAAGGCCTAAGAAATGCAATTTTTAAAAAAAATGCCCAAATAGCATTATTTTACTTGTTATAATCGATAAATTTTAAAAATCTAATTTAATGTTTTAAGCTGTAAAGCAAGAATAAAGCTTTTATTGCCTCAGCTGGACGTTCTATTGAATTTTAATCATTTAAAATAATAAAGAAAACCCCAATATGAAATATATACTTGGTCCATATCCAATGCCAATTAATAATTCATTATCAAATTTGAAAAGTGGGACTGTGCTTAGCCACAAAATATTAAAATAAGTTTCTAACCTATGAAGCAGAGAACTACAGGTCATTTTTAATGCAGACACTCCCTGCTTCAGAGGCAAATCCTGGAATAAAAATATGAGAAAATAAATGAGAAAAGAGCTGCTGATTATTCCAGATATCAATTATAAAATGAGAAATAAATAGAAAAAAATATATAATCAACTGAATTGGAGGCAAAATGGAACTGGTACCATCACTATGATTGGTTGTAAAATCTAGGAGAATAAAGGTGAAAAGGTTTGATTTGGAACATGCTGGGTTGCAGAAAATAAGCAAGTTAAGCACTGAGAGTCTCCAGAAGTTGGAAGTGGCAGTTCCAAACCATGAGCTCTAAAATAGATAAATCCATCCTTTATGACAGAATGAAAAGTAGATTAAGGACTGATAATTAGATGGATTTCTCTTATAAAGTACTCGATCACATGCTTAGCAATTGATTACCACTGTCCACTTCCTCTATCATTAAACAGTCTGTGTGCTTGTGACTAGGGAATCTCCTAAATATAAGAGTAACAATAAATTTTATTGGCTAAATCTAACCAAAAGAGTTAAGCATGAAATCTCTGAAGAGCATCAGAATTAATTTCTATAAAAAGATTTTTTAAAAACCATTCATCTATTAGGTCCAGCAAAAAAGTAAGATTAAATATGACTTTTCAAAATGTGTGGCAATTGGCAGAACAGCTTGTTGAAAATACTACTATTTACAGTCTTTAGCAGTGTAACCTCTCAGGCATACTAATATTTCAACAAACAAGGTTGAAAGTTGTCATTCCCAAAATTTTAGAAATACTGTTTTATCCTATTTAAGGTGTGGTTTATAAGGTTCACAATCATATATACAAGAAAGGCAACATGTGACAATTAAAAGTTATTTTTAAATCTAAAATTAATTTTTATCTATAGCCAAATATGCCACTGTTTAAAAGTATATAAATAAAACTGTAATGCAGTTATTAGAATCAATATTCATATCAATTATAATGTAAAGAGTGAAATATAAACACATCAATATTTAGATAATTAAAAGCCAAGTGCCAAAGGTCTATTTATTTGAAAAAATACATAAAAGCACTTAAATTTTCTGAAAGAATTACATCTATCCAGAAAGCTTCATTGCTATCAAAGCTAAAGAACACAATAATTAATATTAGCCATCAAGAATGTGATCTATATAATGCCACATGGAGAGATTTTTTTCAGCTATCATACATCAAAGAACCTAAGACAATTAGATGATACCAGTTCCATTTTCCAGTTTGTATCCTTGTCAAATGCAGTAGCTGAAATTGGAAAGTTCAGTCACTTTAAACTGCATTCCAATTTAAAGAAAAATTTTTATCAATTTTGTATCATGCATTAATGCAATGTTTTCTTAGTAAATAAATATTTTAAAGGATCTGTAAAAACTACAAAATCTAGATGCTAATGTCAGTGACAGTTTAGGAGCTGATTTGTAGCCACTTTGGGTTTAAATACCAAGTTTTTGGAAAAATACTACAGAATTCATTTAAGAAAATACAGAAAAGATGTTATATTCTGATAACATTCCTCCATCTGTTCCAACTATTGGCAAAATGGAAACTAAATTTGGGTGCATATGAGCCTATATTTTTCATTTTCAGAGAAATACAAGTATGCAGCATGCAATATTTGCAGTGGAACACACAAAGCATGCAACATGGATGCTGTGAACTTGTATTTCTATAAAGCAGCTTTCCCCCACCCACACTTTTTGAATCTAAGTATCATGCACATGAGAATGCAGAATATGAACATCTCAGGGATTCCTGTCCATGGCAGATGGAAGAGTACATGTATAAAGTAACCATGTTCTCAGAAGCAAGTTATGTAGTATTTATGAACTTAATACGCCAAGATAGAACCTAGCATTGCTCGTTGAGGTAAAAACAATTTTCTGTTTCAAATCTTAACAAATTATTATAATTATGAAACCAATTGATGTAATAATCATATATAAGCGTCCGTTCTGGAACAGGTATACCAAACTGTGATTATCATACCCCACATAAATTTAAATGTTCTATACATTTTCCTAGGACACCTAACATACAATAGTTGCAATTACCTGCAGTTTCCTTGATATACTTATTAAATAGAAAGCTCATTAGCACAAAACTGTGAAACTGAAAATATTAACTGTCAAAAGATAGCAGTAAACATATTTTAACTGAAAAATAATATTAAGTTTAAAGCGTACCTAAGTTTGGTCCCAATTAGAAAGAATCTACTCATTTTGAGAGAAATTATATCTTTTTTTTTTCCCCCAAGTTTGCTATAGGATGTGTGAACTCACCAGAACAAAGAGAGAAAGAGAGAAATCATCCCCTGGGGGGAATGGCCATACCACAATTCCTTCTCCTCTATTCTTCTCTCAGGATTTTGGGCATGAACACACATCTGCCCAACATGTTTTTCAAACAGCTTGGTCTAGGACTCAAACTGCACAGTCAGCCACATGAGACCCAGCCACCTTAACCACCACACCACTGGCTGGCTCTAAATGAGATCGTTTTTTTAAATTATAAAATCCTTTACGATGGTACCATTGATGCAATGATGGTAATAATAGAGTATAAAATCTCTCACAATAAAGATGATACATTCTGATTACCTAAGTGCATTAACAATTCCAGGTAGGAGATAAAGTGGAGGATAAGAACTGTGGGCCCACTGACAGCATGGATGATCTGGGATCTTAGGCTCTCTCAACACCTGCCATAATGCCTTACATGTAGTAAAAATTCAGTATTTTGATTAATTTGACCTATGAGAAACAAAAATTTGATATGTATTTTTGACTAATATTAAAGATAAATTGGCAAATGTAGGTTAAAAATTACTATTAAAAGTGCTTAGAATATATATTACTATAATAGTTATCTGAAATAAAATATTTAGGGTTTAAAAATTGTTTAGAAATTTAGGGTTTAGAAGCAATTGTTATTTGTATAAAAAAGTGCTCTAGTAACTTTCTTTTTTTTTCTGGAGAGGTTTTTGCTATAGGGCGCGTGCGCTCGCCAGAGAGAGAGAGACAGAGAGACAGAAAGCGAGAAATCACCTCCCAGGGGGGATGGTCATGCCACAATCCCTTCTCCTCCATTCTCCTCTCGGGATCTTGGGCACACACGCACATGCGCCCGGCTTGAGTTTTAAGCCACCGGGTCCAGGACATGAACCGCGGTCGACTACATGGGAGTCCAGCGACATAGCCATTACGCTAACTGCTGGTTCCCTCTAGTAATTTTCTTCTTGAAACTATATATAAGCCAAATTACCTACTTGTATATTAATCCATAAATTTACCACAAATAAAAAAATCCTTTATGTTATCCCATTAAAATATACATATATAAGAATAATTATATCAAGGACATTTCAGGTTTCTAAATACTAATACTAATTTGTCATTTCCATGCATCCCCTCCCCCCCCAAAAAAAGAAAGAACATTCCTGAGAATAATATAAACGTACTTAAAACAGCTACAGAGGTTTTTTATCAGTCACCATATACTAAACGAAACATCACAACAAAGTCTAATTGGCATTCTATAGAACTAAAGTGTTACTGTAACCCTTCCCATCTATATATAAATTTTTAAATTTATAATTCCTGCTAACAAAATTTTTTAACTACTCCCTTTTCCTTCTTTTTTTTTGCTGAGTTTCTATTTTTACCTGTTAGGAATCAGAGACTATGTTTATTGTTGCACATTAAAAATACAGAAACTTCAACATAAAAATGTTCTAATAACTGCCTTTATTTACTTATTGAGCAGAATAGTTACAATGTACTTCCACTTTATAGTTTTATTTGTTTCTTAAGTTTCTCACTCATCCTTTATAAAAACTAGAAGTCTTTCTTAAAAATTTCCTGAAGATTATTCTCATTTAATATGTGAATAAACTTTTTTTTAATTTATGAAGGAATTAGCTAGTCTCATTAATACAGAAGAATTTTTTCATGGCATTTTCTATGGCCATGGGGGGCACAATGAACTAAATGGAAAATTGATAGACTATTTCACAATTTATTAATGGAAATTTATAGTCTCACAAGAATAATTTTAAAATTTAAAAGTGAAAGGAAATGTCACATTCATAGTGTTTCTCTATTTAAGTCTAATAATCCCACTACTAGCAGTAGTCAATTACTAGGCCAAATGCCAGTAATGATGCTGAACTTGAATAGTACATATGGCTTCTTTTTAAGAATTAATAGAATCACCTGAAGTTCACTATGAATATTTAAAGTAGTCAGGATTAAAAGGCCAGCAGATATTATCAACCCAAAATACCTGGATATCCAAGAATTTTGAAGTATTAATTTGAAGAAAAAGATAAAAATGGACTTTAAGTGGTACTACATATAGAAACCCACTAGAGTTTATTTACTCCTTGGTTAAACTATATTTTTAAATAGAATGATTACTTCTAAATTTCAACTAGAAATTATTTTAACTATTGCAATATTTATGCTTAAAATACCATTTTTAAAACATGGTACTTTATTTGGAACTAACCAAATGTTTC